ACCCTGCGGGTGATTAAGGGATGGAAAGGATCAAAATTTGGTCCAACTCCAGTCAAGGCACCACAACATGCAGGTGGTTCAAATCGGTGAGGTGCACCAAAATGTATGCCTTATGTGGTGTGCTGGTTAGGTATGTTGGTTAGGTATGTTAGAACGCTATGCAGCATGAATGCCATTGCAACACGCATTACTGCAACACGTTCGTGAATGGACCCTTATGCTCATACCAATGAAAAGCTAGTTACGAAGAGGAGGAGATCGTTGTTAGAAGGAACACTGTGTAAAAAGCACGTGTTGTGTGCCTTCTTCCGGCACTCCCTTTTGAAGTCTATGGGGCCAAAAACATGCAATTCCACCAAAATAGAAGCTCATGTACTTAACAATCTACAAGTAAAAGGCGCCGCAGATAAAGTGTGAATGGGCACCATTTATGATAATGGGATTCTTCATGTTAAGCATTGACGCACTTCGGAAAAGGTCCCAAAACGCTCAGATGAAAGGCGCCGCAGATAAAGTGTGAATGGGCACCATTATGATAATAGGATTCTTCATGTTAAGCATTGACGCACTTCGGAAAAGGTCCCAAAACGCTCAGGTGTGAATGGGTTGCGCCCTTTGGGTCTGTTAGGTATTCCATTGAAAGTGTTTTTGTAAATAAATACCTACTGATCCTGCCAATCCCAGGGAGTTTTTAACTTTCTCTAACTTTGCCTGAAATATCAAGCAGGGGTATCAGCCTAATAGAAACAACTCCCACTTATTTTATAGAGATGAAAAGAGTGGGATCTGTAAAGGAGTCCACACCAGGAGCAAGCAACCTACTGTAGTGCTGCTCCTCCAAAGATACAGCACAGTAAGTGCTGCCACGCTGCGAGAGGATGTGCCCCAGTCCTTAGATGTGGCGGCTGCATTCGTTTTGTTTTTGCAGGCCAAGAATATTTTCAGCAAGAGCAGAAAATACCTATTGATCTTGCCTGAAATGCCGTGTCCTTGTCACTTTCTGTGAGCTGAAAATTACGATGTGTAAACTAATACACATCATGCATTGCATGTATGCAGTGTCCACTGCTTTTTCATTGTAAATGTTAAAATAAATTGTTCCTAATCCTGAGATTTCAGGTTGTAATGTAATCTGTGAGGAATTGTATGCACTGTCAAAGTTACTTAGAATGCAGTATAATTGCTATTGTGCCGGCTGGTTCTTGAATTTCTTGTCCTTAACAGTGGAGACGTCATTAGTGATTTGACATCCCCCACCGTAAAATGATTTGGTCCCCCTTTTTGTCTAGAAGAAGACTGTGAATGCTCTGCAGTGCGATCCTTTGTGCGCTCGGTATTGTTGCGCAGCTCTTGTTTTGGCTGTGTCTGTAAGGACTGATTATTTTTTCATTCAGTACCGATAACCTGTGCATAGTATCTCCCAGATTGCTGGTTTAAAGAGCCTTGTACAATGGAGTATATGACTCAAGTTAATATTTAATCTGCTAAATTATTTACTCAAGGCTGCACTCGTTTCATGTTATGAAAAGTCCTCCTTTACAATGGCTCAGGGAGTGTGCAAGTGTCCATTGTTAAGCTGAACAAAGCTTTTTCCCTTTTCTTATTTTTTTTCAGCGTAATGTTCAAATGGACTTCTTTTTTTCCTATTTGCTTTTCTGTCTGAATCTAAAAATGGCCCCAAATGTTTGCTTTTCAGGGTTATGTTATAAGGTCAGCTACAAATGATACTTAGTAGAGTTTTCCCTTAAAGAGAAATGGTAAGGAACAGACATTTTGTATGAATCGGAATCTTCACATTGAAAGTGGAGTATTACTTAACTTAAAGTGACATTAAACCCTCAGATTTTTTAACATAAAACAATACTGTAATGTGTGCCTTACGGTAATCCATGGTAGTTTCCCTTCTCTTTGCTGCTCTTCCTTTTAAATCCTCATGTATTCTCATGCTTGGGGACAACTTCCCTTTGCAGCTCAGGGCCTCTTCCTGTAGTGCTGGCTCAGGTTACAAGGGGCGGAGACGAGACCAGTCACCCTGCATAAAGAGAGAGAGCAACAATGACTGATCTGTATAACGGGAAACTCTTGCACAGAGGCAAAGCGCAGGTGTTGTTTCAGCTGGCTTGCCCTCAGAGCTGTCAGACTGGGAGGCCATCCTATCTCCTGCCCTCAGAGCTGTCAGGCTGGGAGGCCATCCTATCTCCTGCCCTCAGAGCTGTCAGGCTGGGAGGCCATCCTATCTCCTGCCCTCAGAGCTGTCAGGCTGGGAGGCCATCCTATCTCCTGCCCTCAGAGCTGTCAGGCTGGGAGGCCATCCTATCTCCTGCCCTCAGAGGTGTCAGGCTGGGAGGCCATCCTATCTCCTGCCCTCAGGATGGCCTCTCTGCCCAACACTTCTATCTCCTGCCTCAGTTGAAGGCTGATGATGTAGGGCATGTGTTGACAGACTTTGGGCTTTGTTGATAAGGGAGCTTTTGACAACAGTTTGAGATGCTTCTGATGTTTAAGCTCCTTTTTATAGTCCAATACCCTTGTATGAGGAGAGAAGCAGTTATGACCCATACAAAGGCCAGTCAACACTGACCCTAAAAGCTTGCATGCACATTCTGGCTGAGAACCATCTTTTTTGGCACAGGAAAGAAATCCATGTTTTCTCTGATTCCCAGTTCCCACCATTGACCACCTCTGAGTGCAACTCCCGCTCACATCTGGCCTTCAACTCCAGGCACTCTGTGTACATCACTTCCAAGCATTGCTTCAAGAAACTAAACTGTTTCAATAGCTCAGTTTGACGTTTTCGTTGCATACATTTGTAAATACATGGGAAGCCATACGAGTTGAGTTAAAGCTTATCTCCAGTAAAAAATAAATAAACTCCCCTTGCAGCTACTGCAGCACTGCAAGGGTTCTGCAGCACTGCAAGGCAACTGCAGCACTGCAAGGGTTCACTTATTTTTGTCTAGGGGAATTTTTTCTTATGTGATCCCTGCTTTTGCTTGCTCCAAGATTGCCACCCAGAGCCTCCTCCGCTCCCTGCTGCAGTGGTCGGACGCTCACTGACATCATTATGCCTAATGCAGGGTCCATAACTCTGCATATACATGAGGACGCTGAGGGACAGTCCAAATCTGGAACGGAGAGGAGAGAGGCAAGCACTAATAACTGTGATGTGGGGATCAGGTAAGTAAAATCCCTTTACAGAATCCCCTTAGACAAAAGCAAGCAGTTAACCCGTGCAGTGCAAAGGTAGCCCCACTGCAATGGAAGTTTTTTTATAGCTGGAGATAGGCTTCAAGGTCCACATTTTTAAGCCATTTAATTAGGTTTCTCACATTGTTGCCGTCGTCACCAATGTCAACCCAATATGTTTGGTGTGACGGCCACACCTTTCTATGGATATCTAAGATATTTACTGCTTTGTTGCTCTGATTTCATATTTAACCTAAACCAATAAAAGGCAAGTTAATACAAAAGCGTATCAAGGTAAAAAGCACAGACATGAAAGGAAACTTTTGTACTGAGAGAGAATTCTGTAGCCTGTCCTAAAAAATTATAATTGCTTTGCTTTTATACTGATCCAGTGTCTTCAATATTTTTGAATCACTGACCCTAAATAAATGGCGGCCTCCATAATTCTCTAAATCTGACCGGTTTCCATTACACAAATACATATTTTACAAGTAGGCAGTGGCTGTGATTGTGTGTTTTCTTGTTTTTTCAACTTGAGCTTCTCGTTGGCAAAAGGCTCAATGCATTACTAGGAACTTGAAGAGTGTGACTACATTGCAGGTCTTTAAAGTGCTTACAGTGGTGGAATGTGTCAGAGCTTTCATTTTATGCCCCGTGCTAATTTGGAGTAGAAGGAAGACATTTACAATGGTGTGAGATCTTCCCTTTATCTTGATGTTGTTGAGGCTGCAAACAAGCTTGGATCTGCACCTAATTTTTGCTGGGCTGGCTATGTATGGACTGATCTGTAGCAGATGTTATATATCATACACATTGCAGGTCTTGCTTAACCCCAAAGCTTACAATCTATCCAGTTCTAAACCATGCAATTGTCTCTTAGATTTATGCAATATACCTATTATGTCTACTTTTTAAAAATGAACCTACAAGACGTATAGGGCCAGCCGAGGCGGATCTTCTGAAAATGTAGCCTGGCTGCTCTTTATGTTGATTCAGTGCTTCCTATACTTTGAGTCACTTACCTGAAAAAAACATGTAGATCAGGAAGTTTAATTGTTAATTCAGAATTCCTTATTAGCATACAAGTCTCAGGTCACTGATTCAAAGAATTAAGGCAATAAGGTCAACATGGCTACCACACAATTAGCATTTTCAATTGAGGTCAGCAATATCATGCTCCTTGTTTTACTCACTACATGTTTCCATTCAAAGCACTGTAGAGCCTTCTTAAAACCAGAAGATATTTACATGATATTGCTTCCATTACCTATCCCCCAAAAAACAAGGGGTATGTACAGTATATCTCATTTAACGATAGTGGCCATACAGATCATTCCTTTATGCTCATGGGCCAGCTTTGCATCCAGAACTGCTGGTTCCACCATAATCTGTCTTTATATACTTTAGTGGTCCTCAAGCCTGCTTTATAGACGCCAAGTTTCCATGCAATGCACTAATGATGGCCAACAAACCTAAAACAGCTGTATAATGCTTGGACTCATTGGCTTTATCTGCACTGTATCTGCTCTAAACAGGCTATTATGGATGCACAATTGTTACAGGGGCATAACGAATCGATTTGTGTGGCTCCATCCACAGTCCTGCAATGACTCGAAACCCTTTTAATTTTTGGATTTGTGATGGAAATTAGACATGTAGATACCTTCTGCTTTAACCTTCAACTGTGCTTCACACTGTTTTAAAGGATTTCCTTTTGGTTCCTTTGCATACAACTCACCACAACCGGTCTGGTTATACAGCCTCTTTGAATTTTCTTTTATGTATTTGTTGGCTTATCTCTTCTTCTTTTTAACCGATTGCAGACATCATGGACACTGATTATGATACCACATTTGAAGAGGATTCACAGGTCCCAAATGATGATGAAGTCCCATACAGCGATGATGAAACCGATGATGAGTTAGAGAGTCCTGATACTCCTGTACCAAAACAAAGCACAATCAAAAAACAACCAGAACAGAGCCGGGAGCAAGTCCCTAAAGGTGAGTATTGCCTTTGGGGGAATGTGAAAGCTGACATCCTATACCATTGATAATAAGTATAACCGATCTCACACGTGAAAACTTTCCGAGCACTTTTTTTGTTATGCTGACAACCTTACATTTCCCAAATTCTATTTAAATGTCAAAATAGTTATTTTTAAACAAAATTTGAAATATAAAAATACCCGTAGCAAGCAAACTGACATGCTTTATGGCCAAAAACCTGAAGGGGTGCACGGCATAAATCGTGCATGGCTAAAAAAAGACATGGTTTAACAGGTGAGGCTAAATCGTAACAGATTGGCCTAAACGGCAAGATGTCTGCAGGGGCATGCCCATTACGTGAATGCTAGAAGTCACCGACATGCTGCAAGATACTGCTTGAAACCCTGGAGTTAACCAATATTGGAATAGATAAAAAGGCTTAATAATAAATAGGCCATAACATACATTGTAAAATCGTCAGATGGCAGAAGCATGCCCATGGCAGGAGACCTTTATAGACCATCAACGCCCTGTGAGAGACTGCTAGAGGTCATTGGAGTGCTGAGAGAAACTAGAGGAGGCCATTGGCGTGCTCTGAGAGGCTGGTAGAGGCCATTGGTGCCATGCAAGATACTGCTAGAAACTCTAAAAGTGACTCAATTAAATTTGTATTAGCTTGAAAAGGCCTTTTAAATACAATGGCAACGAATGGGAACAAGCCACATAGTAATATATTGTAGAAAAAGGAAAAGGTTAGCATGGCTGAGGAGAAGAAAGTTCTGTGAGAAGGCAGTTCTAACCTTTCCCTTTTGCTGCAATATATTCTTTTACTGCTTGGTATGAGAGGGAATCAGAGCTGCTCTATCAACCATTAGCCATCTGTAAAAAAAAAAAAAAAAAAAGTTAGACACTGGAAAGAGTCCCAGCAGCACCGTGTGAGATTTGTGCACTGTTTCCCTCTATTTTACGACATAGCCAGGGTTTGGGAGGATCAGAAACTGAGGGTGACCACACAAAACTAAGTCTCTACTGAGTTTTGGTTGGGCTGACCTCTTGGTTTTGTACGTTTTGTTTAAACAGAAGGTGTGACTGTCCTTTCAAAATATAATGGGGTTGTGTCATGTGACCATTTTGCCAATGCGCAATTATTGTTTGTAAGGTTCTTAATATATCAATGCCACGGCTAAATGTTGAAAAGGTGACTTGCCCATGGCTCAGTTACAGCATGTGGCAGTTAGTTATGAGCTACAATGGCTTACACATGGCAGCCTTTATCTCTAAACGGTATGCTGACAGCTAGACAAATCCTGCAGGTCCTTCCTGAATTATTCACACTGATACCTGCAGACTGGCAGCTTGGGTGAATGAGGAGAGGAACACTGCGCTCATCTCGCTTATCTCGCTGACATTATTTAACCAACAGAGCATTATGGTGTTGTGGAAGAGTAATGTTCAGCCCTGACTTCTTGTAGAGCAAGCTGCACCCAACTGCAGGGACAAGGTCTTTTAGGACCCAAGGTGAAAAGCCAAAGCTGCAAACTACTTCGGCAGCATAGGTTATAGGTCCTGCTGCTTTTGGACCCCCCCCCCCCTTTCTGCTGAAGTGCCCAAGCGTCTGGTTCTTCTGCCTACCCCTTGGCCAGGTCGTGCTCCACCCACCTTTTATCAACTATACCCTGCCTATGTATTTTGAACGCCATTGCCTCTGCATATAGCCACTGAAAAGTCATTAGCTCGCAGTGGAGCTTGGTGCTACTTTACAAATGAGCGCAGAATATATTAGGAGGTCTTTTAACCGTCCCTACACGTCTGTGTTCCAAATATATGTAGTGTAATTTAGTACCACATTATGGCCACCGGATGGAGCTGAGGAGTTATATTGCTCAGCTCCATCTAGTGGGCATACTGCAGGATTAAAATACTTTACATTCGAGCTGAAAAATAAAATATACTAAGAATGTTTGTTTTTTGCCTCTATTTGCACAGAACAAGTGTTCTCAGAGATTCGCAGGCGAATGGCTCTGCAAATTGTTTATAAATAGACCTCCTTGTGTGCAGCTGTGCATATTAATTGCATTACTAGAAAGTACAAGTGTACAAAGTATTCCAGTTTTTTGGGGGGGTTTTGCCAGTTTTCTAAATGTCTGCATCTGCTGATACTAATATATAGTGTATTTTTTATATCCATCTTTATCTCATTTTAGAATGCAATTGGCAAGTGAAAGCCAATGACCGAAATTTCTATGAAAAGCCTGAATTCAAGCAAAAGACGTACCTTTGTTTTAAGAAAAGCAAGTACTCGGTGAGTATTTATTTTGCTGAATTCATTGTTTTATGTTTTGTTAATTGTCAAATGTAAAATGTATTCCCTCATTATATGATACATGGTTTGTTTCCAAGTTCCAACAATAAAACAAGAAACACCTCTGCTGACAACAGAGGCCATGGATTTCATAATTTCTTTAGTCTTCAGCTATAGTTCACTGCGGCCGATCTGATATGATCTTTTGTTTTACTAGGGGAATGCAATCAAGACTTACAAGTACAACCCAATCACCTTCCTGCCATTTAACTTGTTTGAGCAATTTAAGAGAGCAGCCAATGCCTATTTCCTGGTCCTTCTCATCCTCCAGGTAACTTATCGGCAGACAGTGTTATTATGTTGTGCATGTTCAGTACATGTTTGTTATTTGTGTGAATCATCACCAGCTCTTATCCATGATGTATAAGGGACTTAGTCCGATAAGGTCAGAACATACAAGTTGCTTTACATATTCACAATGCACAAAGTATTCCAGTTGAGGTAACCAGCCAAATATGTTAAGGGAACACCTTCCTTGTTTGTCCTGTATGAATAGTTTGCAAAACATTTCTAATATTTATCTATTTGTTCCTAATGTGTTATCAACATTATTATAAATGTGTATTGTTTGCCTTTTGGAAGTGCCCTGAATTGCCACTTCCCTACAACTCCTTCCATCCCACCCTCCCTTCCTCCACAACTTCTTCCATACCACCCTCCCTCCCTAACTCCTTCCTTTCACCCTCCTTCTTTCCTTCCTTTCATCCCACCTTCCGTCCTTCCCTCCTTCCTTCCCTCCAACCTTCCATCCTTCACACCCTCCTTCCTTCCTTCCTAAACCAAACTCAATTCTAAATTCACTAAATAAAGAAAAACACCCTTAAAATAAAACTAGATCTCAGAAAATAGACCACAGTAGAAACTGGTTACAATGGCTATTCCAATGTGTATCACAATAAAATGCTCAGGTGTCTGATTATAAACAATTAGCAGAGGCGAAATCTAATGTTCTCAGCATCAGAAGGTTCTAATGACCACTAGATGGAGCTGAGGAAATAAATACGTATTTCCTGTGCTCCTCCGCTTCATCTAGTGGTCATAGTATGATATTTTATTACATTACATTCAACCTAAAAAGCAAATCTACCAAGAATGTTGGTTTTTGCCTCTGTTCACACAGGACAAACGTTTATACAGATTCACAGTGCGATTGGCTCTGCCATTTGTTTATAAATAGACCCCATAGTGTTTGCTCTGGCAAGATGAGCTGACACCTAAAACGTTTTTTGATAGCTGTCTTTGAACCTAATATTTATAATATCTTCAAGTGACCCGATACAGATATGTATTTGTTAAAATAACAAAGAAATGTTAAATGGTTTTTCTTTTTTTTTTGTTTGCAGACTATTCCTCAGATATCCACAGTATCCTGGTCCACCACACTTATACCTTTGCTGCTAGTACTGGGGATCACTGCCATCAAGGATCTTGTGGATGATATTGTAAGTGGTGCAGTAGTTTACATTTCTGAATGATGAGGGATGATTAGGCCAACAATATACCGTCTCTTATATCAGAGTATCTAAAGACTTATCAAACCGAAATCAACACCATTAAAGGAAACCTGTACTGAGGCAACTATGGGGACTACCCTTGCTGACCTTCTTCTGAAAATGCTAGATGCTTGGCTATGTCAAGATTCAGCACACATCAGTGAAATTAGCACTGCTGATCTTTATACTTGTTCCAGATTAGTGACCTAGAAAGTACTGAAGCCCCTGGCTCAGCATGACAGCATTATTAAGAAGAGGGCAGCTTCCATTGACGCTTTACTTTAAAACCACCATGAAAAAAGAATCTGATAAGATTGTACAGAGAACCTTGGGTGGTAATCGTGTGAGGAAGACTAACAATATAAACTAATATACGAATGACAGATATGGATGACAGCTTAGATCTAGCTTAGCTATAGACACATCTTTTATTTGTGATATGCCTCCTATAGAGTCGCCTAAACCCAAACCCTTTCCAAAGTGTCTCCATTTTCTCATAGTGGGTAATAGATAGGGATGCATTGATACCGTTTTTTCGGTATCGAGTAAGAGTACTGAAATTTTTCTTTTCGGTACTCGCCGATACCAAGTACCGGTGCCGTGTGTCCTGATTATCAGGAAGTCTGGCGGCAGATCATGACCCGTCACCCGGCTTCCTGATTGCCTGTGAAGCCGGTGTTCTAGCAAAAGAACACCGGCTTCACTTGCCGAGGCTGCTTGGCTTCCTGACCAATCGGGAAGCTGGGCGATGAGTCATGAGGTGCCGCCTGGCTTCCTGATTGGTCAGGAAGCCAGGCTGCCTAACAACAAGTGCAGCTGGCTTCCTAGCCAATCAGGAAGGCAGGCAGCATGTCATGACCCGCCTCCCGGTTTCCTGATTGGCTAGGGAGCCAGCTTTACTTTTTCCTAGGCAGCATGGCTTCCTGACCAATCGGGAAGCCGGGAGGCAGGTCATTATGTGCTGTACGGCTTCCTGATTAGTTAGAAAGCCAGGCTACCTAGCAACAAGTAAAGCCGGCTTCCTAGCCAATCAGGAAGCCGTGAGGTGGGTCATAAGCCACTGCCCGGCTTCCTGATTGGAAAGGAAGCCAGCTCCCCTTTGTCAGAGGTAAGTACCGGAGCATTTGGGCAAGTGCGTGTACTCGCCCAAATACTCTGTATCGGCACCGATACTAGGATTGGTATTGGTGCATCCCTTGTAATAGACCCCCTGCATCCCACAGTACAGCATCCAGTGTGGGAGTGACCCATCTACAGGTATTGCCATGTTAGCTGGGAAGGGCAAGTGCTAACTTTCAGAAAATCAGTATTTGCATAAGTTGTTCTTGAGCTCTGGGTGGTGCTAGAGGGGCAGTTTATTGCTGTCTGCTGTCTTCCAAAGTATTTGGCTTATTCCATTAGTTTTTCCCATTGGTTCACTTCAAGGTACCCAAAGCAGATAACTGTGTTTAGGGTAAACAAAGGAAGGTTCAGGTCTATAAGCTTCTACCTCATGCACATACCAACTTTTCAGACTCTGTGATGAGAGAAATATAGAGGCTTCCATTATTGATCCCTCTTCCTAAAACTGCTGGTTACTTGGCTTTCAGGCTGGTGCACTAACTCTGCAATGATTGATTGAGTGAAAAATCCTCAGTAGGGAGCAAGCAGGAGCAGCCCAAAATATTCCTTTCAAAGTAAAATTTGTGTCTATGGCTGGATCACTCTCTACATTCATTTGTCAAGTATTATCATACTTCTATTTTTCTTTTAAATCCCCCTTAAATGTGTTATTTTGTTGGGCGCAACATGTTTTTACTGGTATCTCATTCCTCTGCATGTTACCAAGTCATCACGATGGTGATTATTTTAACACAAATACTAAAGCAGAAACATTGTGTTGTTATGTTCTGATTGGTTAGAAGACATATCTGAACTGTTAAAACCAGAATACAGACTCAATAGAAAGAGGCATTCCCTCACTCGTGTACCACATACTAACTCTGGAGCAGTGACAATATATGTGCATCAGGAATTGGCTGCATCCATCTGCTTCGTACCAAGTTCTTTTTATCCAGTCTTTTTCCATGTCCCTGCATCTATCCTTTGGAGATTTCCAAGTTTGACAAACGTATTAACTTTTTTTTTTCCATAATTTTTTATTACTTTTCACTCTATATTTATTTGGCTGTTTTGTTTTATTTTCAAAGGCTCGTCATAAAATGGATAATGAGATTAATAATCGACCTTCAGAATTTATAGAAGATGGAAGGTATGGCATTTAAAAGACTATAAAGAAATTACAATAAATAACGGTGTCCAAAGATTCGTGGTCAATATTGGATAACGACTTTGGGATTTCTCATTGCGTATGTCAGATGTTTAGTGAATATGCCTGCCAGTGCATTGCTTAAATGTTACCTCGCTTCAAAGGCTTTTGTTTCCTGCCATGGCTGCCGAGGTGACAGGGGATTAAGATCCCTGACTATTCCCTGTTAATCGATACTTGAATTTCCTGAAGCCAGGAGATAAAACCTTGGTCATGGAACAGGGAAGAGGGCTTGAAGGGGAAGGTGGATCTGGAATCCAGTGGGATTGAATTTCTGATTTGTGTCCTGAACTTGAACTCTTCTTACCACTTTCTGCATTTGAACTTTCCATTATGTAACCCCAATGTAATTTCAATGAAAAGACAAACTTTCTGTGCAAAAGACAGTAACTGCTTAAGAGGTTCCCTTGGCACTTTGTCGTTTTGGAAAAATGAAAAGTTTAGGAGCTTTGTGTGGTCCCTGCTATTTGATATGTCCTAGCTTTGAGGGTTGGTGACAGGGATAGTCACTGTGCCAATGACTTTAAAGCAGGGTGGAAATGACAACAAAAAAAAGCTGAAGTTAGACTTTCACAGGTTATACTTGGAGATCTAAACACTTCAAGAAGAGCAAATTATAGAAAAGTTCTTGTCGAGTCTGAAATACTGCTTTAAAGGAGAACTATAGGGTCAGGGCTTTTCCCCATAGTTCTCCTTAGGGTAACGGGAGGAAACAAACTAACGTCGTCCCATCACCATGAGCTCAGTATAGCGCGAGCTACAGATAGCGGTATACTGAGACGCCGCAGCTGAAGCGGATCCCGACAATTATGTCTGGATCCGCCCAGCTGCGTGTGTGACAGCTGCCTCTGCCTATCTAGAGGCAGATCCAGCTGTACCCCCTCCCCCGTCCGTTCCGCCAGTCAGCGCTGGCGGATCGGGGAGGGGGGAATCCTGTCCCTCCCCTGTCACGGCAGATAGACGTGACAGGATCGAGAAGTGAGCGAACGCCGGTATGTGTTCACTCCCCGATCTACTGAGCCGACCTGTGACAGTCTCACAGGTGACTGGTTTTAGGCAGGTCTAATCCTATGTAATTGGTTGAATGATGAATAGCTGATTTAAGATCTTATTGTTGTTTTTATTATAGGTTTAAGAAAACAAAGTGGAAAAGCATCCAAGTTGGGGACATCATAAAAATCCACAAGAATGAGTTTATTCCGGTCAGTGTTTATTGTAACCTGTTTGTACCAGATATCATTATATGCTCTCCGCTATACTCCTCAAGGTTACTCCACACCTTGGTTTGCATTGTGCGTGCCATTCATAAAATACAGGGTGTGCTGTGGCGCTTGCACTGTCCTACAGAGTTCTCTCTACTTAATGCGGCAGAGGGAACTCTGTGATTGTAGCAGAGCCGGTCACATGGATAAAACTTTGTACCATCTATGTTTCACTGAAAGGATTTCCCTTCACTTCCTGTCCTGTACACACAAAAAGAAGTTAGAAGAAAGTGAAGGAAATCCCCTCTTTGTATAGTTGTTACGGGACCGCATGCCCCCGTTGGATAATGTATTTCCTACCCGTTCTAGTGGCAATTCAATTTTTTTTTTACACATCACTTTCAGTCTCCATTCTGAAGTTTTGTCAGTGTTGGTGGCCCCCAGCACACTACTGCTAACACTGGCAAAACCTCTGCGAATGGTTGTTTTAAATATTTGGCACTTTACATTTGGCTTTTGGGACTCGTGGTATATTCTTGTGCTTTGAATTACCTCCGTGGTACCCATTGGAGTGGTTCACTGCTATATGTGAACAGCCAACCTGGAGCCAGTGAGCTCAGTGAATTGGATTATCTCTTTTACTCCCAACAAATGTGTACTTGAAGTCCCATCCCCACTTCTATAATTGTCTTTAAGAGCAAAGGAAGGCCTTATCTAGTACTAGTTTTCCTAATGACCTGCCCAGTGAGTGTATATATGGACAAGTGCCAAAATGTGGAAGTGGCAAGCTTACTTTTTTGTAACCTCTCAACTGCCAAGGATATGTCCTACATGTAATAACTGTTCCTTTCCTAGCTAACTAATGACATCAAGAATACATCATGGCAGTCAACAGGCTAATGTACTAGGAGAAGCTGCAGTGTCAATAAGAGAAAGCGGGGGCGTGGCTTGGCTATGGCGGCGTAAGGAAGCACATTGCTTGAGCTCTGCTATCACCTGGGACTTTTCATTTAACCACGGCATCCCAAAACCTCGTTTTTGATGTCTCAGAAGCCCAAACCCCGCTCTAACGACGACAGAAGCTCCCAGACATCCTTACAGCGATTTCTCTCCACACCAGCCGCCTCTACTCGCAGCTCCTCCAAGGGGCAAATGGCCCCCGAGACGCAAGGTACGGCTTCGCGACCAATCAATGAACCCTGACTTCCCGATGGTTGACGGTGTGGGATCGTCCCCCGTCCAACGTCTCCCTGGAGTGGACTTCCAGATCGTACATCAGACGCGGCAGCACACCTGAAAACCTGTGGTTCCTCACAAGATGGGAGGAGGATCTGGGGATCCGGTTCACTCCGGGAGAACGTACAAAACTTCTTACATTATCTTACCGATCCTCCATTAGCAACAAGTACCAGGAGACCGGGTACAAACTGGTCACCAGGTGGTACAGGACACCTCACATGCTACATTCCATGTACCCCCAGACTCCTGACACCTGCTGGCGTTGTGGCGCCCCCTCTGCGGACATTTTACATATATTCTGGTCATGCCCCTTGCTCACCACGTTTTGGGACCAAGTCCGAACCATCACCCAAAAGTTCACTGACCTCCCGGTCCCTCGAGACCCGGCCTTCTTCCTCCTACATCATAATAACATACCGACCAAGACGTACAAACGATCTGTCGTGCGCCACCTAGTTAATGCTGCCCGAGCTTGCATTCCGGCTCGCTGGAAAGACCCCACTCCGCCCAATATAATCCAATGGTTAGACAGGATAAATGACATATACCTCATGGAAGACCTCACCAGCTCGCTCCATAATACACCCGACCAGTTTGGTAAGTCCTGGTTTTACTGGATTGAATTTCTTCACTCTCCAGAGTATGATGCCCTACGCCTGGACTCTGGGTACTCTCCAGAGTATGATGCCCTCCGCCTGGACTCTGGGTCATGACCCACCAATCCAACCAGCGCCCTGGATTCCCTCCCCCCCCATTCCCCTCCCGACCCCACAACCCCTCTTTCCTCCCCATCTACCCTCTCCCCCTTTTCCCCCAATGTCATACTCTCCTACAGACCGATGTGGTAAGGCCGCGACCTGACCCACCTGTGGGCCTCGGCTCCCCCGCTCCTGACCGGGTAATCACCCTAGACTCTTTCATGCAACGAGACCGGACAGCGGGGGCCCCGAATCATCGCCCCCATGTCATCATCAGGATCTAGGCCGCAACACTTGCCTTTCTATTGCTATGTATTTGTTTCACCCTTTAAGTTTTCCCTTTCTGTCCATGATTGATGTCTATATTGAGCTAGTAATGACATGTATGTACTGCATATTTGGACACCCCTTTGAAA